AACCCAGATAGGGAAGTCACAAAAATAAACCAAAGCTAAAACACTGAAAATAGGGAAATAGATGTCAATATGTAAAAGGTGACAACATTAAAACAAAACAGAGGAAAATTAAAAAATGGAGACATCAATTTTTCATACGGAGAGGAAGTCAGGACGATATAAAGAAATAAAAGACTGGTATAAACTTAGAAAAATAGGGGTAAATATTAAGGTAACCGTAAAGGAAACTAACAATCCCACACGTCAAAATAAAAAACTAGAAAAATATAAAGACTCAGCAATACAAAATCAACAATGAAAAAGACGAAAAGAAAAACAAAGAAAAATGACTCAGCACAGAAAATTTAAGTGGGACAAAGAAACTGAACAACACACCAAAAAAGACATCAAAATGACAGCACTAAACTCATACCTATCAATAATTTATGCTGAATGTAAATGGACTAAATGCACCAATAAAGAGAGAGTGGCAGAATGGATTAAAAAAACATGATCCGTCTATATGCTACCTACAAGAGACACACCTTAAGACTTAAAGACACAAACTAAAACTCAAAGGATGGAAAAAAATATATCAAGCAGACAACACTCAAAATAGACCAGATCTGGCAATATTAATCTCTGAGAAAACAGACTTTAAAGTAAAATCCACCACAAAGGATAAGGAAGGACATTATATAATAATTAAAAGAGTCAGTACACCAGGAGGACATATGTATAATAAATATTTACGTACCAAACAACAGTGCTCCAAACTACATAAACTCTAACAGCATTGAAAAGAGAGACAGCTCCACAATAGTAGTACGAGACTTCAACGCGCCACTTTTGGTGACAGACAGAACATCCAGAAAGAAGCTCAGCAAAGACATGGAAGAGTTAAACGCTACAATCAGCCAACTTGATCTCACAGACACGTACCGAACGCTCCACCCAACAGCAGCCACGTATACTTTCTTTTCCAACGCACATGGAACATTCTCCAGAGTAGACCACATATTAGGCCATAAAGCAAACCTTAAGAAAATCCAAAGCATCAAAATATTACAAAGCATCTTTTCT